TATATATATACACACACACACACGCACACACCCATCGGCCGTTACCATGCAAAAACATTGTAACAAATACAATAAAATTTGGTACTTGTGGTTACTAAAAAATGGGGGTGGTATTTAAATCCGAAAAAAAATTGTCCAGTTAGATCAAATTAGGTGTAGGCTACATATGAATAAAAATGAGGAACAATAGTTCATTTTTTTTTCAATTATCACACTGAAAAATATGTTGGAAAAAATATAAAGTAAAAGATTTAAAAAACCTGTGCGGGAGGGTGGAGAAAAAAATTGCAGGAACAAATTAAACCTGTCAAAATTGTAAAAACACATGACAGTGCGTAAAAGCCAGCCAGAACCAACTCACCACATTTGGGTTGTAAGGAGGAGTGATTCTCTTGTGGTAAAGATCGTCCCAGTTGATGGGAGAAAAAAAGTGGTGATTCTTTATTTCTAACTGTGATGAAATTAAAAAAAAAGATGGAAATTAGAACAATTTATAGTAAAGCCATAATTAATACAAATTCTCCCACCAGGAGCAGACACTTTGGTGTTGAGTGATAAGAAAGGACATTTTGTTTTTAATAAAACACACTTACAAAGTCAGCAATGGCCCCAAGACGTCTGTGTTGGTCTTTCTGTAGAAGACCCACCAACAGAGAGCAGACCACCTCAGACCTCCCGGGAGGGAGCGGCAGGGGCTTGTGGAGGATTCCTTCATACATTTCACCAACATCACGGCTGTAGAAAGGAGGCTAGAACGAGCAAGAACATCATAGTATGAAATGGGAAAATACGATCTAAACTGTAATTCTATGTTTGACCAAAACCCTGGAAAATCCAAATAAAACTAAGACGGTGCTGGCTAAAGTTAAATCTAATGTCTGGCTTAACGTTTTTGTGAACAGATGTTTGTTGATGACTAGTTTGGGCATTTAAATTAGAAAGCATCAGATCACAATGTTTAACAAAGTCAAACAAACAAACATACCAGGCTGTAGATCATCTCATAAAGAACTGCTCCAAGGCACCACCAGTCCACTGTCCTATCATACGGTTCTTTACGAAGAATTTCTGGTGCCAAATACTTCAGACAGAAAAACAAAACACAACCAAAAATAAATACATGAAATGAAAAATAAACTGACAAAAAATAAACTGTGGCTGATCTGCAGAGCTCCTTCAGTGACAGACTGCTGCATCCTAAATGCACAAAAGAACGTTACCGCAGATCATTCCTCCCATCAGCTGTTAGACTCTGTAACCATGGCTGCTCGCAACAATCATGATAAGCATCTATGTTTGTGTTTGCACGCCGAACAACTCTACCTCTCAATCATTACATAAATAATAACCAGTGACAATTGTACATCTTTTTTTTTCTTCCTGTACTGGACTTAATGACTGAGTTTAAATAAGTTTGCACACCCTCTCGGATCATGAGTCGGTCATGACTGTTTTTTCCTGTAATTTATATTTTTCTGCACAGTATCTTGCCTTATTTTTCATTTTTATCCAGTTTCATCTTGATAGCCCATTACTGTAAAGATTATTCTTAATTTTATTTTGATTTATGTTTATTTTTATTGTTACTGTCTTTAGTTCTATTATTATTGCTACAGTTGATGATGTCACATAGCAATATACTGTTTTTGTGGATTGATGTATGTATCTGCTGCTGCTACTACACCTGAATCTCCCCATGCAGGACAATAAAGGCTCTATTCTATTCTGTTCTGTTCTATTCTATTCTATTCTATTCTATTCTATTCTATTCTATTCTATTCTATTCTATTCTATTCTAAACGAAAGAAAACCTTGCTTCTACAGTTTAGGTACATTTAGTCAAAAATAGCATTTCAGGTTTGTTGCACTTTTTTCATTCAGCTTATCTTGATTTTATTTTTTACTCACTTCAGGAGTGCCACAGAAAGTGGAGGTGGTTCCTTCAGGCTCTACACCCTCTTTGCACAGACCAAAATCCGTCAGCACCACGTGGCCCTGAGCACACAAAACTCAGGTCATCCTAAACTGCACCAAACACAAAAGATTCAGGTATTCCCATCGACTTACCTGCGAGTCTAAAAGAATATTCTCTGGCTTCAGATCTCTGTGGTGAACAAGAATAAACCGCAGTCATGACTTTGACCAGACTTAGTGAAGTGACTTAATATTTCAGTTCATGTAGGTCTAACCTGTAGACGATGTTGAGCGAGTGAAGGTAGCCGATGGCGCTTGCTACTTCGGCTGCGTAAAACCTCGCTCTGGGCTCTGAGAAACACCTCTCCCTCTGAAGGTGGAAGAAGAGCTGAGGACAAACACAAAGACAGCATTAAGAATTAAATGTGAAAAGAGTCAGGTAGTGAAGGATGTGTTGAAAGAGTAACTTATCCCAAAATTAACTTTTTAGCTGATAAACTGTCTAGAATGTGTCTAAAATGTTATATAGTACTGTTTCTGTGCTAATTTTGATGTTTTTGTGCGTATCTGTTCAAATCTGTAATATTTGGTCTAAAAACATGTTTTTGCTGCTCATATGGGTAGAGCAGTGGTACTGCAGGCTAATTTGCATATTGGTTAA